GCTCAGGGCCGCCGCTCGCCCGCCGGGGCGCCCGTCGATGCTGCAGAGCCCGCCCGGCGCGACCCCCGCCTCGTCCTCCGCCATGGACAAGAGCAGCCCCTGCGGCTCCGGTACGCCCGGCTCCTCGGCCGGCAGCAAAGGGCAGCAGCCGCGATCCGCCTCGGCCGGGCCCGCCGCGGGGGAGTCTAAGCCCAAAGGCGGTAAGTAGCCGGGCGCGGGGCGGAGGAGCGGCTGGAGGTCGCCGGGCGGTGCGGGTGCGGGAGGGGTGTCTGGCCCCGGACCGGGAGCCCCGGGGGTTTCGGGCCCCGTCGGCGGTCTCTATGTCTCGCTGGTGGGTCCGAAGTGGTGGTAGCTCGGAGGGAGGGAGGGAGGGGGTAACCGTGAGAGAGCGAGCGGTGTGAGGCAGTGGGGGCCGGTGGCCCCTTGTGCCGGGGTTTGGGTTCGTGGTGAAGCTGAACTTCTCCTTGTCGGGCTGTTTGGCTCTCAGCTGGGTTTTAATAGGCTTCGGTTCAGGTCACTGCTTGTTTTTGCTTTCTTTTTCCTTCCTCTTCCGGCTTTGCTCCCTGTTCAGTGAGCTGCGGTTCCTACTCTCTTCTTCCTTTAAGGATTAATGCTTTATCTATGTTAGCATTGGAGTAATCAGCTTGAGAGCTAAAGCTCTGGGTTTATAGTAAGAACATACGTTTGCCAGTGCCTATTAAGACAACCCTTAACTTTATTTTGTACTCCAGTTGAGTGTGCTTTTACCTCTTGCTTAAGGAGGTCTTGCATCGATACACAGCATTCCCCTTACCAGCTGTATTTCAATAACCTACTTTGGAGGGGCTCAGAGTTAGTTACATACAGTTTGCTCACCTGGCATTTAAAGCGAAGTGTTACATCTGTCATTGCAAACAGCTAGTTTTGCTGACATAGCAGTTCACGAGGAGCCATTATGGTTCCTGTCATCTATCTTTTCAAGGTAAGACCTAAGCCGCCTCCAGTTCTCTAAAGCTGTTTGGGAACAGAGTGTTCCTGGCAACCTTGCATTTTTTTCTAAAACCTAGAAGTGGGGCAGTAGTGATTAAAATTAGGGGTTTTAGTCCTGGAAGTACGTGTGAAGAGTGTCAACAGGTTTCTGCAATACCATTGGTATACTAATTTCCTTCCTCCTCAGTGGTTTGTTTCAACTATATTACTTCAGATCTCTCAGAAAGCACCAGTGTATTCCAGAGGGTTAACAAAACGAGTATCTTGGAGGTGTTGACTCCTTTTTGGACCTTCTAAATGCACTCAGATCCCAGGTAACCAAGTATTACCTGTTTTTCACCTGTATTAAGTGATCTTGCACAGGATAGACTGAAGTGAGTGACATGGGAGGTGGCTCACTCACAGCTGCCCAGGTTGTGGTGTAACTGTGCAATTATAGTTAAGTTTTAACTTCAAATTCAAACACATGAAAATCTTTTTAGGAAGAACTTTTTAGGCAGTAATTTCTGGAAGAACTCCTAACTGATTTGCAAAGTTTTTTGCAACAGCAACAGGATTTGATGTGGGAGTCTTACTATCCCTAGCTACTGTTGTTATTTTTCAGTCTCTTATTTCAATTTTTTTCCCCTTTAAGGAACGGACCAATGGAAGCAGGGGATGTCACGTGCTTGGTATGCAACAAGAGTTTTAGAACCAGATCTTTGGCTTCTGATGGAATAACAAAGTGTATAAACTTCTCTGCATGTATCGTGAGAGGCAGCGTGAAAGGCTAGCAGACGTGAGGTTTTCCTGTTGTGGAGAACTGGTTTCTGTCCATGTCTTGCCAAGAGATACCTCATCACTACAGCTTCTTTTTTAGCAGTGTGTGATGCTGTATGGAGGGTTGTTCACAGATTATAAACATTCTTCAGTAAGGCATTAAGATGGCCTGTCCTGTGGCTGGTATGCCTTCAAGTCGAAGAAACAGTATCTGTAGTGAGGAAGGAAATAAAAGGCCTGTGATTCCAGCCCAAAATGAAAGTGTTAAGTGATTGTGGAATGCCACCTTTTACAGGCTTGAAACAATGTCACTAGTAGCAGAGGAGCTGTGAGGAGAGAAATCCTGATGTACTATACTCTTCTACTCCAATGCAATAGGCAAACTTAAAAAATCCATGCTTTTCTGAAGACCTCTTTTTTTAATAAAACAGAAGAAAATTTTGGCTTGACAGAATTTTGCTTCTAAGGTGCTTGTTTCTTAACTACAATGGAGGGCAAAGGGATATGGAATGAGTTGCTTCCTTTAGAGCGCATTGAAGAGGCCTGGCAAAATTACAGTCTCTTTTAGTAGGAGTAGATGTATATTTGCGAATATCTGAACTGGAGGGTACTGAGAACTAAAATGAGAAGAATCCCTTAGATTAGGGCAAAAAAACACGGGACAAACATACAGCATGCAGCTGTCTTAAATTGCGGCTACGTTTTGGTTAGCTGTTGCATGCAAGATGCTGGCATGTCACCATATGGGATTTTTTTTTTCTTGAGTTCCTTATCATTCCACGTGTAGCTGATGTGGTCCACCCAGTTCCTCTCCTGTTTCAGGAAACATATAGGAGGTATTCTGAAAATCTTGTGTCTCCTTTGAAATGGAAAGTGTTCTTGATAGACCACAGACCCTCCCCAAAATGCTGACCTTTTGTTGCATAAGTGACTTGTGCACTGGTGGTAACTGGATTTGAGTCTAGTCAAGCTCTTGCCATTTAGATGCTTTTCAGAGTTACCCGCTGTGATCAAGTCCAGTGGAAGAAATGAAGAAGTGGATGTTTGCGAAACCTTATGGTAGTTTCTCCTTCTGTTTGTCTTGCAGCACAGCTTGAAATGGGCTAAATAGGATACTGTAAGCTCTTGTACTTGCGGAAGTTAGGTTCCAGCTATCTTTCAAACTTGGCCTTAGAAACTAAATCAAACTCAGAAGTTTCCAACAGAAAAGTTTCTCTGGATTACATTAGTGCACCAACAGGAGTCACATCACGTTAGGATGGAATAAAGCAGTTAAGGGAGAATAGCCTTTTTGGGTTTCTCTGCAGTCCTTGAGACCTGATGGACAACATTAGTTCTTGCAAATGTTCCTGGGCCTTATTATTATGGTGTAAGCATGCTTAGCTGGGGTGTGTGACTGCTCAGTCACCTCTTGCTCACTGGGATGTTTGCCTTAGCAGCAGCAATAGCTTCAGTGTGTTTTCATGAAATCACCCTGGGGCCTAGGGTGATCCACCACCCAAACCCCTTATGCAATACAGTTGGCTTCAACATGGCTCAGCTGAAAAGAAGAGGCAAACAAAGATGGAAGGAAACTGCAGTCCTTGCCCCAGTAGCAAACCAGTACTGCAGCTCCAGGACTGAAGTGGTCACCTAGAGCTGCTATTAGTCCTGTGAACTTGATCTCCTCTCTGGATCATTGGAGATAGAGGTCCTCTAACAGAATGTGGCATCCAACAGGAGAAACCACAGATGTCAGGCCTTGCTCCAAAAGGCAAGAACAGCTTTGAGGCTAGTCTTATAGAATTATATAGACAGTATTTTTTATAAGTCTGTGTTTTCTTGGAGGTGGATGTGTAGATATATTTATTATAGGTTAGATCTTGTGAGAATGGCAAAAGGATTAACTGAGGACCTGAGTGAAGAGTAAGTACCTCACCAGCACTGTTGCTGTTGCTCATTCCTAATTTGCCAAGAAAAGAAGGAAAAAAGAAACTCCCAAATCCAAACCTATGCTACTTAAAACTGGCATCTAACAAGAGAGGATCACAGTGAGAATCTTCCACTGTTCTCCCTGCATGAGTGCAGATAGCCCTGTCCTGCCCTGCTCTTCATGGGAATGCAAGGAGGGATGATACAAAGCAGAGAGCTCCCTGACACATGGCATGCTGGAACGGTGAAGAGCATTGCTTAGATTTGGGGGGGGCAAGGGGAGCAGCAGAACTTGCAATCAGTAAAATCAGGTTTGAAGCGTAGTTAGACTGTCATGTAAGGTCCTTAAAAAAGGCTCAGGTGGAGAGGACTTTCCTGTAAAATGTGAGAGTCATTATAGTGACTCTCAAAGCTCTAGGAGTTGGTCTGAAAGGACCTGTAGTATGACAGGAATGTGTGTAAACCAGCTGTTTGACAAATTTGATGGTGACTAACTTGATTAAAACTATGAAGTGGTAGGAAATTCTTTTGTCAGCTGCAGGTACAAGCTGTTCCTGGGCCTTGTAAAGACACACTTTAGACTGAACTTCTCTTGAGTTGTTTCTTTTCCCCAGTTGGTGATTGCAGAGGAACTGCAAAGTCGCCATAGACACAATAGGCATGTGCCTGTCTAGCATGTTCACTGAAATTGCAGATTTAAGAGGGTGGTTGAGCTCTGAAGTGGCAAGCTCTGCTCCTGAACAACTGAAATAGTTGTCCAAACCTCTTGAAAATGGCTTAATTTTTGACCAGAGACTTTTAGTGGTGTTGATTATAGCCTCTTCTCTACAAACACTCTCAAAAAAGGTCTATCTAAATAATCATTCAGCCAGACCTGGTCACACCCTCAGTACTTGGCCGCTTCTGGTGTGTTTTTTTTCCTGATAACACTCAACCCATGTCTTTTTAGCCTGACATGCATTACAGCACTGCAAGCTATGCAAGCATGTGTTTGAGTTACACATCTGTGGTTCCAATGGAGTTGGTTTAATTCTGAATTAAAGGATTAGCCTTTTGAATAGCAGACTAAATGACCAGTTCTGGTGACGAAGTTTGTCTGCAAAATAGCTATCACATCATGTGAAAGTAATGATAGTGTCCTTTTACTTCTGTAGCTGTAGTAGCAGGCAAGAAACAGCAGACTACCGCAAACTCCAGTCAAGCCGCTTTTATTACTTAAGTAGTCAGATCCTCAGCGACGTACAACAACACACAGACCTTTCAGTCCATTGCCTCCCTCTTTTTGGGGGTGCTGGTGGGAGAGAAAACTAAAAATAACAAAAAAAGTGAGATGTTGTGTGAATGATCCTATTCCAGCTGCTTTAAATGCTCAGGTGGATTGGAAGTGGTGCTGGGGAAGGGGGAAGACTGGAGGCAGTGATAAAGAAAACTACCCATATGTTTAATGCGATCTTGAATCACAGTGGCGTGTTTGCCTGCCATGTAAGATTTATATTAAGGGGTGGGGAGGACTACAAAGTGGAAAAAGGGAAACTAACAGACTTTTATAAAATGGATCTAGATACTGTATGAGGTGTTACCATTTGTGTAATGCTTACTGAGTATGCAGAGTGACTTTGGGGCTGGCTGGTGTGGATAGATGTCTTGCTGGGCCTGTGGGGTTTTGCTTCCAAGCTTATCAACATAACTTCTACAAATAAAACTTTGGGCAGTTGGTGGAAATGCTAGGCTAAGTGACTGGTAAGCAGTCTGTTGTGTCCTTGGGGCAACTCCGATCTTGTGTTAAGACTATTAGAAATACCTTCATAGTATTAATTTTCTGTTCTAGCAGTCTAATGAAGCAGCTGTTTAGACACAGGAAACCCCTTTCAAGAGCCTGACTGATATTTTCTGCTCGTGAGCTTTGTTTCTGCAGTATTTTGCTTTGTACTTTCACCACTGTGTGAAAGTGACCCTGTGTTAGGGTCAGCGGTGCACTCTGCTTTCGGGCAAACAGTTCTTGTTGCATAGGTTGGTGGACTTAGTACTTAGATATTAGGTTCGTGCTTCAAGATCGATAAGCATTTGTCTGCCTTGTGAAAGAAAAGGGTATTTTAGAACAGGATTAGAACTGTTGGGGTCTTTTAAGCATAGGGGCAGAACTGAGTGAAAACAGGTAATGGGGTCTTGCAAAGTGGGAAACCTTGAGACAAATGCAGGCAGCAGTATATTTATATAAGGGAACAATATATGATAAATTGTGTGTTTTCAGAAAATGGAATGAAAAAATGAACTAGTTGTTGTCAATTTTTGTAATGGGGTATGAGGATGTGATGTTGGTGTTTATCACTTAATGTACCAGGTAACACGCTAACGTCTGGTGACAGAAATTCCAGATCTGGATAAAGAAAATTCAGCCATTCTAAGAAAAGATAAAGCACAGCAAATACATCCTTCTTTTATACTCTTTGACCAATTCTTTGGGCAGTGATAGGAATCAAATGGTTTGGGTTGCTGGGGGGATTTGATGTGCTGATAAACACCAGCCTTTTAACCAGGGCCCGAGACAGTGGCCGAGGTGAACACAGTGCTGTCTCTGAGGCAAAGCTGGCTGAGGTGAAGTATGGGTGGACAACTCCAAGACTGCTGATCTGAATCTTGGGTTTTTTTTTTCTTTCAGATGGAAAGAATGCAAGTGGATCCAAACAGCGTTATAATCGTAAAAGAGAAACTTCATATTCAAAAAATGAGAACTTTTCCAGTCAGTCCCGTCGCTCCAATTCACAGAAAAGCAAAGCTTTTAACAAGATGCCCCCTCAAAGGGGAGGTAGCGGCGGAAGTGGCAAACTTTTTAGCTCTTGTAATGGTGGAAGACGAGATGAGGTGAGAATTGTAATGCCATGCCTCCAAGGCCTTCTTTCTTGGGACGAGAGGACCACTGACCTGCCTAGATAGGTCTTCTGTATTCAGCTCCTGGGCTGGGAAGGGAAAGAGCGATAAGAGGTGCTAACATCGTTGAGATGCCAGAGTGAGTGTGAGCAGAACAACTTTGCAACAACAGAAGAAGAGTGCTCTCTGCTCTGAGAGACTTGCATTAAAAAATACCATCTGAGGAATGGGTACCTAGACAGGCCACATACATATGTCATGAAACAGAGGTCCTTCATGAAATATCTAGTGATACAATTTCTAGCTTTTAAGTCTGAGGTGATTGTGTCTAACCGCTTCAGTGTACAAATCTGTGTGTGATAGTGGTATTGGTAAACGTGTTATTAGCCTTGGTGACATCAAGAGGGAGTAAAACCAGACTGAGGCTTTTATGCTGATATAGGTCTAAATTCTGTAGATTATCGGTGGATTTTCATTGATACAGACTCATTTTTCAGTTTTAGTGGATGAGCAACACTGCTCACCTAAATTGCTGACTCTGTCAAATCTTACCTGCTGTCTCTGTTGAATTCTCATTCTTTGCTTCGTTATATGAAAACTAACCAAAACAAGTACAACCTGTGCAAATAGTAATCAGACTTGTATTACTGGCTGTCTAAAAAAATACTGTCAGGTTTCAAACAACTGTCTTCTGTTATTAACCTTGACTACTAGGTTTTGCCAGCTTTTACTTGTCCTTATGTGGGTTGTTTTTGTGCTCTCCTCCTTTTGATCAGTGCGGGGTAAGACTGCTGAGTTCTAACTTTCAGGTTCTCATGCACTTCTAACGCTGCACTACTTGATTTGCAGAACTGGCGTAGGAGAAGGTGAGTGAGTGGATGCTGCATATTCTGTACGTAATCACTGGTGGGGCCTGGGTATCAACTTGTACTGATGCTTTTGCAGTAAATTCTAGCAAGTTCTAACAAATGCCGTTGTCTCTTAGGTAGCAGAGGCTCAGCGGGCAGAGTTCAGCCCTGCCCAATTCTCTGGTCCCAAGAAGATTAATCTGAACCACTTACTGAACTTCACTTTTGAACCCCGTGGCCAAACAGGCCATTTTGATGGGAATGGACATGGCAACTGGGGGAAAAGGAACAAGTGGGGACATAAGCCTTTCAACAAGGAGCTCTTCCTGCAGGCCAAGTGAGTGGAAGACCAGCAGGGCTCTTAGACTTCTACAGAGAGAGACACTGAGTTGTAGGGGACGATCAGCCAGGAAACTGTTTGACCTTGACTACTTGTGTAGACTTTTCTAGGGTAAAGTTACCTCTCTGTAGTATTTTTAGTGGTAACGACTACACTTGAAAGGGATAAAAATATACCAAGTTGTCATCTTTACCTATTTACAAGGTATCTGATGGTGTGAGTCCTTTAAATACAAACCAATTAGTCTTCTGCTCTAATTTTCCAGCATCGCTTGTGGCATATGACATTCCACTTGAGAAGACCTACGTAGCTCCCTTACAGAAGATGATCGTTTTTTCCAAAAAATAATATGTTGAGGTGGTAGGGGTAGCAGTTGCTTGGATCAAAGCTAATCTGAATTTATAAGTCCCAGAAGCAATTACTCGTATGGGTCTTAATTCTTAAACTGCTGATTATTTCACAGGCCCCTAGGTGTGTAGTATAACCCAAATGATGATCAGTGTAGTAATCCAGCAGCAGAATTGCTTTTGACTGGAAATAATGGTCACTTTCACTGGAATTTGAAGCATGTTCAGGACTTCCTGTATCTGATCATGTTAAAGATAATAAAAACTATTTTCAGCATGGATGCTTCTGATTTTTCCCTATTGTTCTGTGGCTTATTGTAGTGAAGTCTATTTGCAGGAACCCCAATAGTGCTGGTTTTTGTGAGCATATTTTTTCCACTTGTGGATTCCCTGTTTTTTAATAGATCCCTGAAGGAGCTGGCTGTTTCTTACATGTTTCTGGAAAAACACTCTGCCTGGCTCATTCTGTAGTTAGTATGTGATACCGTGTCTAACTGAAGTGAGATACACCTATATTCTGGAAATTTGGTTGTGAATTGAACTCTTTTGGGTTTTGTCAGTATAAGTTACTGACTACCTCCAGCAGTTTTCTGCTGGACAAAGAAGAAGCTCAGAGAATCCTGTAGGTTAGTGCTCAAAGAATTTTTAGAAACAACTGAGTGGATCATCTGTCTCTTTGCCTTTCCCCAGCTGCCAGTTTGTTGTCTCTGAAGAACAGGACTACACAGTCCACTTTGCTGATCCAGATACCTTGGTCAACTGGGACTTTGTGGAGCAAGTGGTCAGTTGTGATGGGCTAGATTTTTTTTTTTTCCTCCTTCTTAAGAAGCTCAACCTGTCTTTAACTGCCTCTTTATCTCTGTGATGTTACGTAAAACTCAGCTGTTTTTGAGTTGAGTCCTCTTCTGTCACTCCCACAATACTGGGAAAGATCTGTCATGGAATATATTATGAAATACTTTCATGACAGGAAAAGAGAAGTGCTAAAATCTATTAGGAAAATTAGCAGCTTCTTCTTGCTTTCGCAGATGGGAGCTCATCAAAAATAGTATCTGACATTCTGTAGACAGAGTCCTTGTGATCAAGATATTAACAGAAAACTTGGGCATGAGTCCATGGAAGAGGACTAGAGTGTAGAATTTTGAAGAATTATTCTGTGCATAGGTGGCCCATCTTGCCTAGCAACAAAATGGAAAATCTCTTGAGAACTGTGGTCAGAACTTTGGGTTGCCTCAAGTAGAAACTTGTTATCTGCTAAGGCTAGTCATGGTGTATGGTGTAGCTGGAGAGGAGGTAGGCTTACTGTTACCTGACGCTATGAGAGCACTGAAAAATCTAGGTGCTCGCTTGGCAGTTATGTCTGTATGCAACATACAGATGCTAACAAAGTGTCTGACTAAACTAGAATGTTCATGGAAATAGGTAAGTTCAGTCTCTCAGTGAAACAGGACTGCACAAGTCTGCTTGTGTAAGTGGGGTGACAGGGCTCATTTGCTGTCTTCTCAGTGTCTGAATTCGGATGATGAAGATGCTGCTAACTCTTAGAGATGATGAATACATGAGGGGAAACATGAGAAGAGTCACTTTTTTATGTCACTAGAGTAGAAATACCAGATGGGTGGCTTTGAAAGTTATTCCATGTGCAGTCTGAAGGTGTTAGTTCACAGTGTACTTAATTTCTTTGTAAATAAGCAGAGCCTAAAGAGCTGGAAGATTCATATGTTAGAGTAGATATTATTCTGTAGCACAGGAACTGTTTTCCAAGTCTAAAACTTGTACTATTCTTCTCGTGTGCTATTTCAGCGAATCTGTAGCCATGAAGTGCCCTCCTGCCCAATATGTCTGTACCCACCAACCGCAGCAAAGATCACCCGTTGTGGGCATATCTTTTGTTGGGCATGTATCCTTCACTATCTCTCCTTGAGTGAAAAGACCTGGAGTAAATGTCCTATTTGTTATAGCTCTGTTCACAAGAAGGATCTCAAGAGGTGAGACTTGATATTTATTAAATGATGCATCTCTTTCAAATATTATTTTTACCATACTAACCTCCTCCTTACATTGCAGTGTTGTTGCTATGGAAACACGTCAATATGCAATTGGTGATATCATTACGATGCAACTTATGAGAAGAGAGAAAGGTGTTCTGATAGCACTGCCCAAATCTCAGTGGATGAATGTGGTGCAGCCTGTTTACATCGGAGGTGAGTGTATCTGAGTACTGGCGATTGGCATCCTGCTCCTAACTGACTAGGACTTGTGTAGAGAGGATTTACCATAGCAATGCCATGCTGTCACCTTAAAACAGACCAGACTACAACACATGGGTTTTGGCAGCTGAAAACCTTAATGACCACATCTTAATAATAAGCTTTCTACCCACACTTTATTTTTTGTAAGCTTCTAAGTTGTGTGCTCTTTCCATTCAAGTTGCTCTGCAGACTCCTGCCTTCTCAGTCATTAGCTTGACATGTGTTTTGTATCGTACAGTCATTGGTGTGACTCTTGCTGCTTTTCTTGGCTCTTCAGTGTCCTTAACTTTTTTTTTCCCCATCCTGGCTCCTCGTTATACAGCTTAGCAAAAATAAATGTCTTTGTGTCTAAACTATTTCAAGGATGTAATCTTCAATAAGGTTTTAATCTTCTTCACTTATCAGCTAAGATCTGTGAATGATATGGGAAAATAATCAAAATTATTGCAAACGGATTCCAAACATCTGTTGCCTGACTTCTTCAGTTTTCTCCAGTCAAGTAATGTGACTAACACATCATCATCTTATCTGTTAGTATCACGAAAATTTTGTGACTAAAGAAATAGTTTTACTTAACATGGCTGTTTTGTGGGCTGTCTTGGCTCACTTCATTTTGCAGTCACATTTGTGAAAGGCTGCTTGCTTTTAAGCTCGCTGTAAAAAGTCAAGTCTCCCAGCACATGATGGGTATCCAGCAGGCAGGGTGTGTGCTTACATGTTCCTCAGTATTTGAAAGTAAAGGACTTTAAATCCTTCCATAAAACAAACAAAAGAACAAATACGGGATTTGAGATCATTCTAAACCCAGGAAATTAAGCATTAACTTGGTGTTCTGTAGACAAAGTTGCACCCTTGGGGAGCAGTGAATATGTTGACTGTACTAGTATGTGATGCTATGGCTGCTGTAGACTTCATAGCTAAGATAACCTCTCTAGTAACAAAGACGACTACCTTTTGCTAAATTTGCAATTCTTTAGTTTACTGTTTCTGCTGTGCTTTTTGTAAAAAAACCCTCATAATAATGTTTTGTACAGATTTTGAATACGTATGGGTTTATAAACTGGTTTGAGCCAAAACAGAGGTCGCTTGCGGAACTTTCCAGTTGCAGTATTTTTGAATGTATAGAGAAGAAACAGCAGCTGCAGACTGCATTGTTTCAGGAAGTTTTGACCACCCAAGGCTTCTCAAAGGCAATACTTCCACAGCAAAGAAGTTTAGACTTAATTTTTTTTTTTTATGTGTAGCAGCTGAGCAGTGAAGTGGCAGGTTGAAAGTGGCAGATAAACTGCTGCGTGGGGGGGATGTGTGTAGCAGAGCAGGTATGTGGCACCAGCTTGTGTCATCAATGATACAATGGTAATATGTGGAGTCCGTATCAAACCCTTGCTAAATATTGTCTGCTCTGGAGTGGATTAACTCACAAAATTGAGAAGTAACAAAACTTCAGAAGAAACAGCAGTTCAAATTGGTGCTTCTACATGCAGATATTAATGATTTGGTGCTCCTTCTGTTCAGATGACCAGCACAGTCAGTATTCAAAGCTGCTTCTGGCATCCAGGGAGCAGGTCTTGCAGCTGGTGATTCTGGAGGAGAAAGCAGCATTACTAAAACAGTATGAGGAAGAAAAACACACCCCAGAGGCTTGCTTTATTGAGGCGGCTATCCAGGAACTGAAGGTGAGAACCTCTTTGGAGGCTTTTAGTAACTTTATTTTTAACAGTATACTGAGTGCTGAGCATCTATGTTCTGCTGCATAAGTGGTTATTTGTGATTATTCTGGTCTCCGTGACGTACATACTAGTAAGGTGGTTTTGCTGCTAGAGTAGCATTATAAATCTTGGAGAAGACTATAGCCTTTGGACCCTAGGTATCTGGCATGATGTTCAAGATAACAGAACAGGATGCTTTTTACTGAATGGTATTCCTTCCATAAATGTAACAGAGTTCTGCTTTCAAAAGAAGATGTGTTTCCCTTTCAGGTCCAACAATTTCTGGGATAACTTTTATCAGGGAGACATGAGCAAACCTGTAGAATATTCCTTTTCAAAGCCTTTAGGTGTTCTACAATGGGTGCGCTTTCCAGTAACAAGAAGGAGCAGACCTCTCTTCAAGGGTCACTCTTTGTCACAGATGAATTATAGATCTGTGAAAACCTGAAATACAGGACAAGGCTAAAAATATCTATGGTGGTAGTCTGCTGGCTTAAATAGGAAATTGCAACTTGGTTTTTTTGGATGACCTGTAGGAACGAGAAACAGCACTCTCTGCTGACCAGGATAAAAACAATGGCATTGCTGGAATCAGTGCAGCTGTGGAAGAATTGGTCCTAGTAAGCTCCAAGGCTGTGGAGCCTACAGTTTCCCAAGAGAAAAAGGTGGGTGACAACTCCACTCTGGCAGATCTTGTTAGTACTTAATTCTGCCACTTTACACTGCACTGTATAGTGAACTGGTGCCAAAGATTTTTGCAGAGATTATAATCTTTTGAAGGAGGTGATGTGGTACTAACTGTATGCTCTCCACTGTGATAGTGTGGTGTGGAATATCTCTCTGCATTTGATGAGGAGCTTGTGGAGCCTTGCTCTGATCTGGCAAGTTCCTTTTTGCCTCCTGTGGAAGCTGAAGAGGCAGTGCTGGATGAAGAGGAAGTACCTGAGGTGGACACTGTAGGGGCACCTGATACAAACACTACAGAAGAACCAAATCCAGCTGAAACAAGCTATCAAGAATCTAAAGATACAAATAGCAGTGGACATCTTGGCAACTGTCCTTTCTACTATTTCTATCAAGGTCAGTGCAATGAAATCCTGGAATCATGGGGGCAGAGGTGCCTCATTTGGGATCCTTCTTGAGGAAGATGTTTGTCACTTCATTAGATGCAGCTAACCCCTGTGAAATAAAGCTCCCACAGAAACTCAGAAAGGAGCTCTAATTTTATTACTGGAGAATGTACTGAGGAGGGGAAAAAGCTATTGAAAATTAACAGGAAAAGAACAAGCGATGGTATCTTATCTTACAGCGGAGGATGGACAGTGTATGTATCTTCACCCTGTGAATGTTCGATGTCTTGTTCGTGAATATGGCAGCTTGGAGAAGAGTCCAGAGAAGATAACTGCAGCTGTAGTGGAGCTAACTGGCTACTCAATGACAGAGGTAGTTATTTTATCTTCTTATTAATTAAGGGCCCTTGTTTTTAGCAGATTGATCATGGTGGCTGACAGGTGAGACTTGTTTCTCTTCAGTAATGAGAAATAATAACCATGAATGGGTAGGCATGCTAATCTGTGAAGGGCATCCGTGTAAGTTGCAGTATCTTAAGTTGCTTTTGATTAGTAGGCTGTGGTCTAGCTTAATTTTTTTTTTCCTAGAAGGTAGGAAGTTCTAGGAGTGAGAGAATTGCAAGTTAGGATTGGTTTGTTGTTAAAGCTGTCTTAAAGTAAATTCTTTTTTCATATAAGACAGTAGCTTGAACTTGATCTTCATCTATCATATTCATCTTGAACAAGATCTATCATCTTTCTCAACTTGAAGGAAGTGGTCTGCCTCTATCATGGACAAACAGTTGTTTCTGAGCATCAAGGGTAGAGGTAGGACGTTGTGAAAATAAAGAGGATGGAAAGAAACATCAGTGCTTGAGATAGAGTGAAAGTGCTTAAGGCACTGAAGTTCTGGAAGAGGGGATGGGTCTTGAATTCCTTTATCTCAAATAAAGACACCTTAATGGCACGTGCAGTAACAACTACACATAATTCTTAATTAGTCTTTAAGAAAGGATGTGCTCAAGTAAGAATGGATGCAGAGGTAGTAGGGAATTGTCTTCAAGTTTTCCATCTCTGAGAAGAAAAGTACAAAATTCAGCTTGTTTCAGTCTAGCTAAGTGGTGGTTGTTGGTCCAAATAATTTGTTAAAGGCAAATTTGGTCCAGTGCAAAAATAAACACATTGGAAGACTGGTATTGTAGAATTTTATTCTGGTGATGTGAGTGAAAAGGGAGGAATAACAAGAAAATTGGTAACCGAGCTGGAGTAACTGCATCCAAATCTGTTTATGATGTAGTTGGTGGAAATCATGGAGCTTTTGGTTCTGACCCAGGGCATCCTTCACGTGTTTGTAGTTTATGAAGTGATTATTGTGTCACTGCTGCTATTTTTTTTTCCATTTGATTTGATCAATGGTGGGCATTCTATCTCCATAAGCTGTTCCTCACTATGGCAGCCTCTAGACCTTGTTGTGATGATACATCTACTCTTTTTTTTTTTTTTTTTTTAATCAGGATATAAGACAGCGTCATCGCTACCTTTGTCACTTGCCCCTCACCTGTGAGTTCAGCATTTGTGAACTGGCTCTGAAGCCACCCATCATTTCTAAGGAGACTTTAGAGTTGTTTTCAGGTTGGTACTACCTTTCTAGTAGGCTCTGTCATGTATCCGTGAGGGTGAAGGGGAAGTTGTTCTTATCCCTTAATGGCAGAAAAAAAGAACATACATAGCAGCTTTACTCCTCTTGCACCAACTGTCTGATGACTACTTGACAGAACAACCCCAATTAGCTGCTTTACAGACAACAATTATACAAAGAATAAAAAAAGCCTGACTGCTTGGAAGAGCATATTTTGTTTGTAAGCATATTTTGTTACTAATGTGTTATAACTGAATATGTTGTTCTCAAAGCTGGAGAAAACATTGCCAAAGTATTGGTGTGGGGTTTTTGATATCCAATGCTGTGCATTGTTCCTAGATGACATTGAAAAGAGGAAACGTCTTCGGCAGAAGAAAGCTCGTGATGAACGACGACGTGAACGCAGAATTGAAATAGAAGAAAACAAGAAACAAGGCAAATGTAAGTCGTGATTGAGCATAACTGGTGAATTTCCAGTCATCTTTAGTTGCTGAGCTGATTTCTTGAGCTATAGGGTGAACTCGTAAGGTCTTTAGTTTGTCGTGTGTACTTAGAACAAGATTACAATGTATTAGAAACAATGTCTGTAGAGTGAAAAATACAAGCTGTTTTAGTCAGGATGTTAAATGTTGTTATGCAGTTGCTCTATACTTGCACATTATGGGAGAGACAGAGGGCATTCAAGGGTGTAGCTATCTCCATGTTGTATATAGCTTTCAGGATTCTTAGTTTCTGTTTTTATAGTAATCACGATATAGAGTGAAAAGTGAAGAAGGAAAAAAAATGCCTAGGAACTGCTTCCATCCAGCAGCAGGGTTTGTACTGGTCTCTAAAATAGAGGGTGGGAAGAAAATTGAGTTGGCACCTCCTAGACTCCTGAAACAGCTTGCATATTGACAGTCCTCCCCCACATTGTGTAGTGCTTTAATTTAAAACCTCTTTCTAGATCCAGAGGTCCATATTGCTTTAGAGAATCTGCAGCAGTTCCCTGCTTTTACCTCTTGCCCCGGAGAAACTACCAGCATTGATCATCAGAGCTTCTGTCTGTCTCCTCTTGGCAGAAGCCCTGTGTTTCAGACGGGTAAGCATCTGGAAAAACACATCACATCTAGCTTTTGAACATTCTTTTGGGATCTACTGCTCAGGTCATCATGCTAAACTTTCTTGATACTGATCAAAGACTGCTTCTTTCCTAGATTGCCTATGAGATCATACACAAAAGGCTGACATGGCTAAGAAACTTTCTGGTCCTTTCTCTGCTTTTTACTACCTCTACTTCAGTGACAATATGAGATCTGCACTGTAGTTACCCCATCTTTTAAAGCTTTGCTGAGGCAGAAGAAAAGAAAGGAAAAAAAATACCCCAAAAGGGAAGAAAAGTGTATATGCCAGGAAAACACTACTGGCATTTTTTCTTTCTACTCTCCATCTTCCCCCACCGTGTTATACTAAAATAAAACGTAGTTAATGAGCACTCAGGTTGTTGTCCAGTAATGCTTTACCAGATGTTTTATCTTGCAGTTCATAAAAAATATTAAGTAGAAACTGTTCTTAAATGTTTTTTCTTAAAAAAGAAACAAACCCAAACCACAAAAAAACACCAACCAAAAAACAAAACCCATACAACACCCCAAAATAAGCAAACAAAAACCTCAGAGCAGCAGCAACAAACTTAAATCTCCTTTCAATAAAAAGATTAAGGAAATTTGAGAGGTCTCACTGTGTGACTAATGGATGGAACTGATGAGATAAAAATCATTAATTACATAAGATAATAAAACTTTATTTCTGTTTCATCCTGATAAGCAGCATAATGAGTGCATTTGCCAAATAAAACTGGCTTTAATTATCTGCTGCTTTCTCTGTAGAGTCTATTCCAACTCCACTGTCACCTGCTGCCAGCCAGGTCAGCCCATTCCTCTGTGGGAGTTTAGAAGAAGAGTCTCCCTTCCCTTCTTTTGCCCAGGTAAGCCACGTAGCAGAGTAAATCTTGTCAGAATTACTTGTATCTTAGTTGGGGATTAGTCTGAGAATGCAATAGCTTCCCCCACAAAAACAATGGGGGATAAATCTTAGGGAGACAACATGGGGTTTGAGTGCTTGAAGGGGTTCCTAGATTTTCTTGCCACTTAGGGGATATACAAGATTGTTCTAATACATGGGATTTAATCATATCTTACAACTTTTTTGACAGATGTTGAGAGTCGGAAAGGCAAAACCAGAAACATGGCCCAAACCTGCCCCAAAGACAAGAGGTAAGAAAATTTGGTATTACTACTTCAGGTTCTTTACCATGCATCTAAATCTAAGAAATCTTGTAACTTCACAAGAAACATCTGGAGCGTGGAGGGGCATTTGCACTGTGAAAGTTTTCTACAGCCTTCTGCCTCTCAAAGCCCTTTCCTTCTTTCAGATGAGAACACTCTGGCACTCCCTGTGCCAGTGGATAGTGATGGAGAAAGTGACAGCTCTGACCGCATACCTGTGCCCAGCTTCCAGAATTCCTTCAGCCAAGCTATTGAGGCAGCCCTCCTGAAACTGGACAAACCGTCCACAGCTGATCATTTATCAGGTAAAAGGCAGGGGGGAAGGCATGAAAAATTTCTGAAGGGAAAAAATTGAATATTTCCCCTTCTTCCTCTGGGAGAAGCGAGAGCAGCAATTTTGGGGACCAAAAATTGGCCACAGAACAGTTCTGAATATTGTCAGGTTGTGGTTTCTGAACAGCTTGACTAGGGCTTCTGTTAGCTTAAAGCGGCTCACTTAGTGAGAGCTAAGATCTCCAGCTAGCAAAGAATCCTGTTAGGACAAAGATGGCTTTTGACTATCATGTTTGCTGTGTCTCTACTGGAGCTTAATTTAAGCTTCATCTCAAGGAAGTTCAAGTTATGCACTTTTAAACTAAAAATACGTGAGCTGCTGAACTACCAATGAAGTTTGATCAAAACATCAAGGTAACTGCTAGCTGAAATTTCAAATTAGGGAGTCTGAAACAAATTGAGATGAACTTAAACCTCCAAGCCTGGTGATGGCTGATAAAATTAATTTATAATGCTCAGTTCTGATGTTCAGCTTTGGCTTCTGTTTGGAGACTGTGCTGAGTGATGGAGAGAGATTGGGCCTGGGAGTTTCAATGAAATTGAGTATCAGCTCCAGTTGGTAGTTTTCTGGACATGGATGAAAGCGATACTTGGCAAATTGCTGCATAGCTGCACCCTTAGGATCTGCTGTTGCAACAGCAACTTTAGAATCAGTTAGGCATGTTTATAGGTGTGCTTTAGATGTCTGCAGTAATTTTATTGTTAAAATTAAACTAGTTGGTGTTCAGTGAGTTGATAGGAAGTGTCACAGACCTGTGGAAGTCATTTAGGCTAGGAAAGACAATTTATCATTTCTATGTGATGTTCCTGTTCCATGAGAAGAATGACGGTATGATTTTAATTCTTCACAGAGGAAAAGGGAGGCAAGAAAAGAAAGAAACAGAAGCAGAAGCTATTGTTCAGCACCTCTGTTGTTCACACAAAGTGATTCTGCTATTCAAGAGAAGTTTCCTCTCCTCGTTTTCTTTTCATTTTGCTTTGTTTTGCTGCTATAGTTTAAGTATTTAAATTTGAACAGACTAAACTTGTGTTTCCAGGGCTTCTAGGGGGTTCAGGAGGAAACCATTACAGTATATGTTGAAGTAAGAGCTTTTGATTTCAACTGTTTAATCAGTTTATACTGAAACAAAGTTTTGAAAGAAACAACCCAGAGACAAATCGGCCAAGGCTTCTAGTGTGTGCCAAGTCAGTTCTTTTGGCCTAATAAGCAGTATGAAAATCTTTACAGCTGTGTGGCACTGCCAGAATACTGCAATATTACCTAAGTGAAGAGGCAGAGAGTCTTTATTTCCCTAGAAGTATTCATGGGCAGAAGTCCATCTGACTGTGACAGTAGTGCTGTTTCAGTAAAGCTGTCAAACTGCTCTCTTGAGAAACTGGTTTCCGCTGCGCTGGAAACGGGCAAAAGAGCTTCCTGGCTTTAGAGTGCTAGCTGCTGTATCTGTTCTTTTTCTAAAGAGCAAGAATTCCTCCTGTTCTCCTGGCTTGGAAAGATTTAAAGCTGAGGTGAGTGTAAAGCAGAACTTGGCTACTTGGTTTTGAAGTGATAAATTTGTGTATTTCAAAATGCATACTGGCACGAGTGGTAGAAGGAACCTCCTGGCTTCTCAGTTGTTCAACTCTGTTTTAATGTGGGTGAGTGAGGCTGCTAATTTTTTCTTTTTTTTTTTTTTTTTTTGCCAACCATGGGCTACACATTCTTTGTAACCTGATCATCTAGAATAAACACTCCACCCTAGGGTTCTTGGTAACTACCTGAATGTTTTGACACTGGCTGCTCTTGAATTGGAAGAACAACTGATAGCTGGAGTCTGTAGACAACTTTTATTCCCTAGCAAGAAACTGGGTCTCTTGTACTGGGATAAGGGCCTGTATCTGCTTGGTTCTGGGATGTGAGTTGATCTGTACTAAGCACTTCGGGCCATAAACATGCCTCTTCTGGACCCCTCCCTGCTTTTTCTTTGGGTGGTCATATTCTGCACTGCTTGTGGTTTGATTTGAGCTAATGAGTTAAGTGGTGTGGATTTTGTTGAATAAAATGAACTATAGGTGTAATGTACCAGTCAAGGCCAACAGTTGCAATAAATCATATGCACACGCACTTACAGTACTGCACACTTCTGAGCTGTAACTGAACTGTCATATCAACATGGAGCACAATACCACTTAGTTGCACCAATTCACATCTTACCTTTCTTCTGACAGAATTCATGCCAGGGAGCTGGCACTAACTTACAGTGTGAGACTGACAGGTGTCTTCTGTTATCTTCAGCCCCATTTGCACCAGTGGTCTGCCTGCATTTGCACAGCCTTTAAAAAGTTGATGTGCCCTCTCCCTTTGACCCTGTGACTGATCTGAGCAAGGAAGCATGTGTTTGAGACTCCTCGAGTCAGGTTTTCTAACACCACTGGTAAAGTCATTGGTTGTGTCCCTATTTAAAAAGTTTCTGTCAATACATGGATGCTTGATTTCAAAGCAATAGGCTCCATGTTATACCAGTGCTTCCCTGAGGCACTTAAGTGTGTGCGCATGAGAAGCTAGTACCAAAGAGTATACTTTGCAAAACTGTATGCAGCTGTAAACCAGAAAGAAGGGGGAGAGAGGAGAGGTAAAGAGTACTTCCAACTGCTACAGGAGGATAGAGGAAACACCTGCAAAACATTCTTTGAAAGCAGCTTGACTTCACACTGGGTCACAATTAACTACACTGGAGGGAAAGACAGTACAGCTTGTTAATAGAGTGCAAAGAAACTAAGACAAGATGCCTGAAAGCGGTAACACATCTTGCTGTTAATGCTTTACGTGCACATTGGAAAATTATTGGTGAGGGCAGAGAAAGCAACAAAGTAAGAAAGATTCAAGTATGCTGTTAACTGTTCACAGTACTATTGTTTTCTATTTGTAATAGTCATTTTAAGCCATGGAACAGGAGTAACTACTTAGTGTCTAATCAGTATCTGTTGTGTTCTATTATCTCTACACATTTATGGTCAACTTTTCTTTGCATTGGGAAGAGAGACAATAGCTGGAGCTGGTGTAACTCACCTCCACATCTCACAGGCACTAGAACAAGAGAAGTGATGCAGGCAAGGAAGACTGTCCCTTCTGCAGGGGCAGTCTCCACAGGACAGCATCTTTAAGTTGTTTTCCTATGGGTTTAAGAGATAATACCAGCAATGCTACTTTCCTGTAACTGATCGGTGTAAACTTAATAAATATCTAAGCAGTACTTGTACCTATGAGTTTTATAATGGGTCGGATGGAGTTGAGCCCTACAGCTCTACCTTGCATTCCCTGTAATCTCTGCTCCTGTGTACACAAATGGTGCTTTTGTGACTCAAAACAAGAGACAGCCCTATGGGTAATGGGTACACTTGAAGCTAAGGTTAAAAGCAGTTAAAATGTTAATGCTTTTTCTGTATCGAAGAATAACTACATTCCTTGTCCATGCCAACTGCCTGAAGTTCACTTCTACCTCAGCATGAACATCACATCAAGCTGTTACACTCCTTAGGAGTGCAGGTGGTTTTGACTCCTGGAGTTGAAACAGGCAAGTAACCTACTTAAGTAAAACGGTTTTATTTATTTAAGAACATGTGGAATGGGGTAATGAAGTCTAACTATGAACAGATTCTTTTTCTGCCCCCCCCTGCTTTGCTTAACACTGAAGATAACTGGTAACACCTTGATTACACAAGTACAGGACAGAGGTGAACAGTAACAACATTCAGTCTGTCTCTATGCCATCATCATCTTCCTCGTCTCCACTTTGAGACTGCTCTTCTGTAAGGGAACAGCTCAACAAGGACTTCTGTATACACCGTCTTTCCTCTGCAATAAAGAGAACAACAGAGGGTTATTATTTGATCTCTTCACATACATGGAAATATCCTCAACTTCTAAGGAAAGGACGATATCTCAGTTCAAGAATTCAGAAGTAGCCCAGCATATCCTACAAAACCCCCAGGAACTGAGGCTGCATTTTAGGAAAGCGTCTGGAGGAACTCACCTTCATTTGTACAGTTTTGCAACAACATCAGCAGCTGTCTTCTGTTATACTGAATTAGAAATTTCTGACATGTTCTTATAGTACCTGTAGGAGTCACAAGAACAGTATGTAACAATCTACAAAACCACGTGGTTCAGAGCTGCTAGTTTATTTTCTGAAGATCATTGTATCAAGCGACAAATGCCCCAGACAACAACTTTTATTAACGCAAGTGCTAAGAAGTGGCTGTAGACTTTTCTGCACTGCTGAGGTCAAGTGGTGGAATAATAATTTCTAACATGTAGTGCCCATTATTTGCCCCAAGTGGTTAATTTTCAGGATATGGACAATGCTAGACTTTAAAATATATTTTCGAAAAAAAATAATGTAATATAGTATTCGCTGCTCTGCTTCTGTGTTAAATGTAATGACGATTCAAGCAGAATTAACGAGGGTTTCAACAAAGAACTGCTGGTGCCTGTTTCTTATTTGGATCTACTAGGAGCTGCTAAGTTAGCGACACGGAGGACGTGTCTGTCGCACCCGCTGGCAGCAAGAGGGGCTTCTTCCATTTTAGCGGGCCTTCCAGGTACGATTAAGCTCCGCGGCCTGCCTCCCTCCCTCCTCCCCTCCCAGGCACCAGAGACTCGGCACCCAGCACCGGGGCAGCTCAGGCAGCGGCTGACCTCCGACGTGCAGGGTGTTGAGGAAGCAGGGGTACCGCTGGTTCCGGCTCTCCAGCTGCCTCACGAAGGGGAGCGCGGAGCAGAGCAGTCTGTAGGAGTCCTTGCGGCACCGCAGGAGCACGGTCCCGGTGTAGGCGTTCAGGTACTTCACTGCGGGGAGAGTGGAGGGGGTGCACAAACGCACCGGTGAGCCCCGCGCCCCGGCCTTTCCCTGAGGAGAGCCCCCCTCATCCCCCTCCCCGAGGGCCCGGGGCGGCGGGGGCACCTGTGAAGGAGATGGAGCAGCAGGCCAGGCCGTAGTCCCCGTGCACCCGCCCGATGGCGTCCCTGACGGCGAGGCCCACGGCGCGGTCCTCGATGCACTGCCGGCACCGCGGGTCCTCCGAAACCACCTCGCACAGCACGTACCTGCGGGACAGCGCGGCGTCAGCGGGACCGGGACCTAGAGACCGAGCCGGAGCCGGGGCTGGGGCCGGCCCGGCGGGGGGGCCCTCTTCCTCCCCTGTTCTTGAAGGGAACCATGGCGGCGGCGGCGGCCGAGCCGGACGGACGCTGCGGCTCGCCAATGGACGAGGCGCCTCCGCGCAGTGCAGCCAATCGACGTCGGGCAGGGGCGGGGACAGAAAAAAGCCAGCCCGGCCCCTGTGGTCCCGCCTTCCTTCAGCGGGCGGCTGCGGAGAGCGCATG